GTGGACTTTTACATATTTTTCCAATATGAGTATACTTGTTAAGATCATTGCATATTAATCATACGCTCCCATGTTATATCATATAACGAGAAAAATATTAATATGGTCAATTTTTTGTCAAGTGACCCAACTCAAAATATCGACATGGATGAAATTTGCACCATAGTTAGTACTATTGGATAGTAGGCCAGACATAAATTTTTAGCTCTATCGGTTATGAACTGCCGGACTTAGAAGTTCAAAGTTGCACCTTTTGGTCATACAGGGTTTTATTCAAATGAGTGTAACTTTTCACCTATTGGTCCTAGCGAAAATTGTCCAAAGGAGTTCAGATAGATATTTCTTCATTGTTTCCAAAAAAAAATTTTAAATTAAAAAAAAGAAAATAATTTTTCTTTTCAAAAATTTTTTTTCTCAAATGAAAGCTTATACTTCTTTTAAAGGCTTTATAGTCCCATAATGGAATGCTAGTGGGATATCTATCAAAAGAATAAGAATTTGAACTCAAGAATAAAATTTTTCTCAATATTTGGCACTTAATTTTCCAATATTTTTTTAAAATTCACATTTTTGTTGTTTTTTTCTTTGCACAAAAGAAAGCTTAGGCCATTTCCTTTAAGAGCTTTGTTATTACTTTTTAAAAGTTGGGTTACTTGACACGAAATTGCCCACATACATTTTTAATAGCTAAAACTCGATTATTTTCAAACCTTGTTGAGATCATTTCACATTAATCATACGCTCCCATAAAAATGAGAAAAAAATATATAATATAATTTTTTAAAAGCTAAAACTTGATCATATTCAAACTTATATTATTTCGCAAAAATTCTTCAAAATATTATCTCCTTTAACTTTGTGATTTCTTAAAATAATTATCTACAAACAAAATTATTTCTTGTTATTTTCCATAAAATTTTATAAACATTTTTAGATTTTTTACATTATGGCCTTATTCTTGGTCAAGTTCTTTTACATTTCTACGACTTCAAATTGACCTCAATCAGAAAATGTCAATAAAATTTACAGCGAAAAAAACACGGTTACTATTTGTTTTTTTATGTAGTTTTATAACAATTCGTTAATAATGGCTGAATATTTGATTAATTCTTTGAACAGACATGTTTAATCGATAATTTAACAACTAATGCTTAGAATTGTAAAAACGAAAGAAAACATACTGATGACAGAAAAGTGATATAAATGGTTAACAAAATATTGCAATATTCCTATTTAAGAAACATTTTTATAAACGTTTGTAAGTTTTAAACATTTTTTAAAATTTAGATTTGTTTGTCTATGTATTTAGAAAATGTAAAGTTAAAAAATAAAAATTTTATAAAATATAAAAAAATCAAAATCTTGAAGAAGTTTTTTTGTATATATTAAAAACATTTCTATTATAATAATTTATTTTATTAAAACCGAAATCGTTTCCAAATTTTTAAAATTGTTTAAACATCGTTATTCACTTCCATGCATGATTTGTTATATTTTCAAGGAATTATTTTAACAAGTTTAATAATAAACATTTTCTGAAATCTGAAATCTTAAATTATCTGAAAACTTACAAATTATTATTTGTAAATTTTTAGATAATTTAAAAACATATTAATTTAAAAAAATATATAGAAAATAATTATTTTTAAATATTTTAGCAATGAAATTGTAAAATGTAAATGGAACCAAAATTTAAGGAACATCTCAATATTGATATCGTATTTTTTAGTTGAATTTAGAATTTTCGAACATAACAGATATGACTGAATTTCAGCATATTTGTATACTGGTTTAAAATTCAATTTCAAATCCGAATTCAAATTTTTACAAAGAATTGACCTTTATCTCAAAAGAAAATTTAATATTATTTAATTTAAAACTATTTGGAATTTATTTAATAATTAAACCTAATTATTAGGTTTCAAAATAATTCAAACCAAGTAATTGATATGAGTTACGTTGGCGTATGAGTTATAAACATCAATGAGAACACGTATCCGTTTAGAGAAAGAAATTTATATAAATTAGTCACGTGATTGTTCTAAAAAACTAATTGTTAAAATACGATCACTTTTTACTAAACATTTTATATCTCTAATCCGAATGCACTAAATAAAAATAAAAATCAAAAAATTGTTATTGTATTGAAATTGAAAGATCTCACTCTTAATCAGTAATATCATTACAAATTTATTCTTAATTTTATTCTATTATATTTTTGATTAACTATTTTCTAATTTTCTTTCAAAATATGTAAATCAAGCGAAGTAATTAGTATGAGTCACGTTGACGTATAAGTAATATACATCTATCAGAACAAGTATCCGTTTTGAGAATGAAATTGATATAAAATAATCACGTGATTGTTTAAAAACAAAACTAATTATTACCTCGATCAGTTTTTATTAAACAATTTATATCGTTATTAATTGTGTTCAGATTTTAATTATACAATTTAGGTTAAAAAAGAGCTTCTGAAAATTATAAAATTCCAGTCAGTAAAGGGTCCTCTTTTACAAGTCCAGTTGGTGTGTGCTGTATTTCCGAGTCTAGAAAAACATTAGGTCTTTCACTTTTTATAACCTTTAAACTATGCAAGTCTTCAATGAAAATTTGACTACAAAATATTCTTATAAATTAGACACTGTAAAATTTTATTTAAAAATAAATTCTAAAAAATTATTTAAATTTAGGAAAATGAGGGAATTTTTATTTAATTAGCAGATGAGTATAGAAATCGTTTACTGAATTTAAATCCATTTCCGTAAGTCGAATAGACTTTGTGTTATAAATTAACATTTTATTCAAAAAAATTCGAAAATCTATTGGATTTTTTTAAGAGGCCAAAATTATTAAAAGCTCAAAAGCTTGTGACAAAAAGTCGAAAACAAACTTATTGTCATTTGCCTTTTTTGACACTTCGCATATTTTTTACAAATTTTGAATGATTTTTTTTTTTTCAAAATTTTTCTAATGTTTTTTCTCATTTCATATTTTTGTTTTTCAACATTTATTTTTTCCTATTTATCTTTAAAATTCGATAATATGTATATCGTCACATGGAATGCAAAAACGCGTAACAACCAAAAAATTTTAAATTGACTTTTTGATTAAAAATGCATCAAAATACATGTTGTTGCAAATTTTTAAAACTCTATTGTCAAAAACATGGACTTTGTTGAAATTAAATTCAAAAGGGCGTGACAACAAATTAGTCATTTCCACAAGTAAGAAAGTCCTAAAAAGTAACATAATAGACAATCTTACCTCCCCTCATTTTATAAAACAAAACTTTCCTTAACGTAAAAAATTTGCATGAAGAATACTGGAAAATTTTTGAAAATTTGAATTTTTTCCATACAAATTTGTTTGAACGTTTGCCGGTTCGTTTTATAAAACGGGACCCTGTTTATTGATGTTGGGATACAATACTTATAATAAAATGTCGTTTTTATAGCAAAAATAGCTTTAGTTTTATTTAGTTTTTTGTCTCTCCTGTGTTCTTACGCTTTTTGCATTTCAGGTGACGATATGGAAATAATCAAGTAAAAAACGTTATGTGCAATAACATTTTATTTATGAACTTGTCTTAAAGTTGTGATACACGGTTGCCAGGTCTTACAACGTTGTCAGTAAAATGTGCAGAAAATGTCTAACAATCGTGTGAACTTACAATTTTACTTTTGCAAAAAGCATTTCTGAAAATGTAGGAAGACAAAATTTGTAAGATGACACTGTTGTTAGACATTTTCCGCACATTTCACTGCCAACCTTGTAAGATCTAACAACCGTGTATACATAGCTTTAGTCTGAAAAAACCCAGTAAAATATTTTCAAATTTTAGTTATAAGTGTTGTTGGTAATGTAGTTATTTCATACATTACTTAGTAATGAGTGGCCGTTATGAATAACATTAATTAAATTTTTTGAATAGGATTTGTAGTCAATTGTCTATAGCGTATGTCTAATAAGGAATTAGTTTGTGGTTCTAACCCTAGTCGATATTAGAAGTTTTTTAAAGATATTTGCATTTGTGTTGATATTTGCATTTGTGTAAAAAATATTCCAGATAGAATGATAAAACAACTTTTTAATGGAGCATTGAGTAAGAGAATAGACTAGTAAACATAAAAACTATAAATCCAATTATAAATCCGGCAAAATCGGGTAAGCACATTTGTAACCAGTTATTTTTTGGTCATCGTCGAACAACAATAAGTAGTTATTCACCCAAAAAGTAACTACTTACACTTTTCTTCAATATTACTTGCCTACTTACCGGGCAAGTAAAGATTTCTTGGGAAGTGTATGAATCTATTTGTTACAATATTCATTCCATTTATGAATAAAATGTTTGCAATTTCCAAAAGAAAAAGGTTTTAATGTGTTTTTTTTTAATTTTTTGTAAGCTTTGACAAATTATCGCCGAATTAGAAACATATGGCTGCAAATATATCCCTGGAAGAATGAGTTACGAACCTATCACCTATTCTCTGAGTTTTAAGATAATTTGAAAGAATGATCCATGTTTTGTGAAAAGAAAGTTATTGCCTAAGTGCTGTAGTGGTATATTTGTATGAAAACAATAATTAAATATCCTTCATTTTTTAATGTTGTTCATATTTTTAATGATTATTTCAAAAGTTTGACGTCCCCGAGATAAAATGCCAAAATAATGTAATATATGAAGGTTCTAAATCCTTGTAAACTAATATTATTTAATATTTCTTTTTAATTGTCAGATATAAAGTCAAAACATATTAGCCATTTCAGAAAATCTGAAAGTCAAAAGTTTTAAATTTGAGACAAAAAGTATGCTTTTGCTTTATAAAAATATAATATTCTTAAAGAAATAGTACAGTTTTTCCAAAACTTTTACCTAAATATTTGTAAATAGAGACTTTTTGAAAAAAAACTAAAGCATAATTTTTGAAAATTTTTTTAACACAAAATCAAAAATCTTATAATATTAAAAATAATTTTCATAAAAAAATACACACCATTATTTTTGTTGCACTATTTTAGCAATTCATACACTTGCTGCTATTAACATTATCTCTATGCTGGTGCTGCTGACAGTGATGTTGATGATGCCTTAAAGTTTCAATAAACTTGCTTTTATATTTTATGCGAACTCTTTGAGTTTTCTGAAACATTTTGGTTATTTTATTGCAACATAAACTTTATTATTAAAACTTTTTTCTACTGGCTTGTAATTTAAATTATTTAGATGTATTTTGTTGGAATTATTCTTCTTTTAGATTAGCATAAACATAACTTTTCTTAAGCCATGACTTTTTACTAATTATTCGTTTTATACATTTGTGTTATGACATGAATTATGGTTTTAGAACTTCCGTTTTTATGGTGAAATTTTAATTTAATGTATGCAGCACTGAAATTGTGTTTAAAACATAATTAATTTTTCGTTTTGCGTTGGAAAATAAAAGACAACAGCAACAACAACAATGATGACAACTGCCCCACTCCACAATTATGCACTATTTTAGCTGTAATATTTCTTATGGATTTTTTTTCTTCTTTTTCTTACTTAAACTTATTTTATGTTGTTTTATACTTTTTTGTTTAAGCTCAAAATTTATTTCTATTGCATTTGCACAGACACACAAACACAAAATACTTTTACTCCATTTCCGCTGCTTAACAGCTTACACTCGCACACACTTGCAAAAATTCATTCATTCGATCCAATTCAATTCATTGACACAGAACAACAACGGCAGCAGTTGCAAGTGGCAAGACCATCATCACGTAAAGCCAGCAAGCAAGCAACCAACTTTTAAATGGCATTAAAAATTGTTGTTGTTATTGTTGCTGTTGTTTGTATCGTTGTGTGTATGCAGCAGGCAAATCGTAGTTGTAAAAAGGGTATTGCATTGGCATTGCAACAGAAAATACAAAAACAGAGAAAAAACTAAAACAAAAACTACAACAATTTTACGGAACAGAAATATAGAACATACAGAGAACGACAATACTAGAACCGCCAGCAACAACCAAAAACAACCATGCAACTTTTTAAATACAACAACTAAAAACAATTGCCAGTGCAATAAAGAGGTCGGTTGGTTGGTTGGTATATATAAATTTATTTTATTTATTTATTTTTCCTGGTATTGTTGTAACTTTTGTCTTGTGTTTTAAGCTGTTTTTATACGTTTATTTTTTTGCCAATTTTTGAATGCCTTGTTGCAGTGGAGTAATAGTAGTTTTCAAGTGTTGTATAATTTTGCTGTTTTGCAAAAAATAAAGTTTCGTTTTCGTTACAAATAAGGAAAGGAAAATTAAAAATTTGTTTCACTTTATTTGCATTTGTCTTAGTTAATTACTTTTTTTAAATTTATTTTTTGAAATTTAAACCATTGTTTTCAATTTAATTAGAGAAAACAAATATACTAACGTTTATTTTTGTTTTTTTCTTTAGTTAATTTGTATTTTTAATTCTTTCTTTATTTTTTTTATGTTTTTAGTTTGTTTTTATTAATAACCGTCTTTCCGTAATATAAACGCGTGTGCGAGCACGCGGAAAAACAAAAGTAAACTGTTCCACTGCTGCACATCGAACTCTAGGTCTTACTTGTCTTCTTCTTCATCATTGTTGTCGTCGTCGTCGCCGCAGTCGTTGTCGCTGTTGTCATCATTACCATCATCATTATTAGATTATTCATCATTATCATCACTACCAACATCGTCATATTCATAGTCATTATTATCTTATTCGTGTGTTGGTTTTAACATTTTCCTAATACTTGATTTTTTTTCTTCATCCAACTTTTCTTGCCTCTAGTTTTCCAGTTCAAATGCCATCACACACACACACTTACACAAACCTATCATCATTATCTCCAACTTTCATACACACAAAGATTTGAAACACCGTTTCAGAAGACACTAACTCACTCACTCACTGACACTCTTAACATTACCGCACACTAACAAGCACTATTTCATTTTAATGTGTGTTTGTATATATATGCAGGCATGTATGTGTGAGTTATACTTCTTCTTCACTTTGCTTTTCCTTTTGTATTTCTATTTTCTTTAGCTTGCTTCACTTTTCACCAAATGAATGAACCAAAAATATAAAAAAAAATTAACATACACACAAAATGTTTAATAAAAAACATGTATTTTTCATGCCTTCTCTTGTTTTTTTTTTTTTTCTTCCTTTTTTTTTTGTAAAGAATTATTACCACGGAGCTGTATTCTATACGACGACAAGTAGCAGTGAAACGCCGCACACGAATGCTGTACGATATACCGACAATGCTGACACCAAGTGCTTGTGCTGTTGGCTTTTTTAGAGTCTCTACCGGAATCACAGCACAGCTCACTCACATACCAAGGCATCAATACAGAAAACAACAGAACTGTAAAATCCAACACCACCACCGTTAACAACAATAGCAACACTACAGCGAAAAACTACTCTTTTAAGTTCTCACCATTGCCAACGCGTGTGTATTTAGAACATTAGGAGAGAAGAAAATTCATCTAAAAGAGTGTGTGTGTTTGTGAAACACAAAAACGTGCTACAAGATTTGCAGTTCTAGTGTTAAAATATGATAAAAAAAAGCTTTTTCCGTTTAGTTGTTTAGTATTTTTCCCGTTCTGTGTATCTCAATGTTAGCTATGGCATGGAAATGAAACATAGAAATGCAGTAGGTTATTGTAATACTTAAACGAGAGAGTATATAATTCATGTTAACAGAGTAATGTTATTAGCATAGATTTTAACATAAAGTACTTATGTTCTTGCCACTGAATAATTGAAGGAATACTTCTCCTGTATTGATACACAGAGAAAACAGATTCGTTGTGATAACCGAATTTGTTTCCAATCGAATTCAGTCGGTTCTAACAACTATCCCAAAATTCGATTGTAATTATTGTATAATTCGGTTAGTATTACTGAATATATGGTGTACACAAAAATTTTTAATTATTATTCGGTAATCTGGATTGAAATTATTGGTATTAGCAACTGAAATATTATTTATAGAAAAACAATTTGTGGATTATGTGTATTTGAAAATATATTTATTTTGTGTAAAGTATTTACAATAAAATATAAATATGTATAAACTTACAAAACGTATACATATAAAATAACTTCTCCCCTTTTGCTTTGAGATTTTCATGGTAATAAACAGGGATTTTGCTCTTGATTCTGCTCAACATTTTCAAAGGAACACTATCTTTCCACGCCTTTCCGCTGTGTAAAATTATTAAAAATTATAGAAAAATAACACAAAATAGATTATAAGATATAAAATACACCAAACATTACCTTTTTTATCCAAATTTCTGCATTAATTTATCCTCAAATGTAATTAGGTTTTTTTATATTATTTTTATTTTATTTATTTTTGTATACGTCAACTATAATTACCAATTAATCGGTTGTGAACATCGAATTTGGTTCCTTTAACCGTAATTAAATTTTAAATAATTACTTCAATTGATAATTGGTTGCAGTGCTCAATATTTTTTACTTTCTACTGTTTTTCGGTTGTAGCGACTAATATTTGATGTTCTTACGTTTTAATCCTAAATAAAAGTCGGCTGCATTTACTGAATTGCCAAATGAATTTAATAACCGATACAATTCAGTTCAAATTATTAATTTAGAAATTGTTAAAACCACAATTCGATTAGTATTATTATTTTTTAATACTGAATATAGAAAATCAGTTAAGTATACAGTTTTTCAATAACAGCGATACAATTTTAATTAGTTTAACTAAATATTTATCATGGTAACCGATTTCCCATCGATCTGTTTTCTGTGTGTATGTAAAGAATAACAAAAATGTTGTTATTTAAATCCAATCTTTTACTTTTCTGTTTATTTAATATTGGAGGCTCATAAAAGAATCATTTCTAAGAGTCACCTAAAAGTGCTGGCAGGGCTGAAATGAGTTTATATAATTCTCAGTATTCTGTATTTCTGTTTATAGTTAAGTTTTTGTGAGGGAAATTGAAATGTCACATTTGTTAGAAATGTTGAAGTATATTCTGCTTTAATTATAATAATTATACCCTACAACACTATAGTGGGGAGGGTATTATACGTTTGTGCTGATGTTTGTAAAACACAAAAATATTGGTCCTACACCCACCTTAAGACATGTCCGTCCGGCTGGCTGGCTGTCCATGTAAACGTTGTGCGCAAGGTACAGGCCGCAATTTTGAAGATAATTTGATGAAATTTGGACCAAGCCTGTTTTTTTGGCACAGGGACGAACGCTATTGAAAATGGTTGAAATTGGTCCATAATTTCACCGTACCTTCCGATTTGTCATAATTACGTCAAATATACTATTATCTCTCTAAAAATTGGCACAAATAAGTTTTATGTAAGTATAAATGACACTGCAAATTTTTGTAATGATCGGCCCTTATTTGACCCAAGCCCCCATACAAACCCCCCTTCCAAAAATGTCTTAAACGTCAAAAATTGACTTGTAACCATTTGTATCGCATTGAAATTCAACATAACTAATTGTTTTCCCAAATAAGTTAAAGAGTTTCTTATCGTGCTTTCAACCCCAATTTTTTAAATAAATTCACTGTAATATATTGATGGTGGGGAAGCTAGTTCCTTTATTTAAAAATATATCCTTTACCCAAATTTAATGAGGATGGGCCCATGTTTGACCTATACTCTTATATAAAGCCGTATTTAGAAAAAATTGCTTAAATACTTTGGAATTAAGGTAAAATTCAAAATAAAAGTTTCTTTATGAAAAATATTTTTTTTTAAATATACTCATGGTGTAGGGTATTATATGGTCGGCCATGCCCGACTATACTTTCCTACTTTGGAAGGTTGTTACCTTCAATATTAACTTGTTCCGAAACATTTAAGCAATTTATGGATGAAAAACTAATTTTTTGAGAGAGCCTTTATATAGGGGCTAGGGGCAAATATGGACCAAGCCCGTTAAAATTTTGTGAATATATTTATATAATATTTATTTGTGCTGAATTTCATCGCGATATTTGTGTTTATATGTTAATTTTGGACATTCAAGTAATTTTCTGAAGGGGACTTTGTATGGGTGCCTGGTCTATATGAAATTTGGCAAGATCATCATGGCTTGTATAAAACATAGTTGTGCCGCTTTTTATCGATATACAGTTATACTTAACATAATTATGAGCTCAGAAGCCCTTTTCAGGGGGTTCTGTTGTGTGGGGGCTAGGTGACATAATGGACCAAAAAAAGCGTGTGTGCCAAATTTCATCCAATTATCTTGAAAATAGCTTAATGAACTCAGAAAAGTACTTACTCAGGCAAGTACTTACCACAAACGATTACAAGTAATTAGAAAAAGTAGTCATTGTAAATCACATGAAATTACACATACAGCATCTATCTGTATCTTTACTGGCAAGATGACTAATAAATTAGAAGGTATTTATATAACACATTATTAATAAGACCTTATTAGACTACTTCTATGTAATCCAGACCATATGTAGCACTCATTGAAAAGTATGCTTTTAGATAAGTAATTACAATTGAAAGCTGTTACCCAGTTTTTGCTAGGTTACTGACCGGTTTACGGACTAACGATGAAGGTTTGAGATAGTTTTTCTTCATATTAATATAAATTTCCAAAAAAAAAGGTTTTTTTACAATCGGAATCAAAAAAGTACAATTTTTAATGGTATTTTTTAGAACTGGAAAATTCCATTTTGCATCCCTGGTATTGACTGATTTATGGACTAGTCTGTTTAGTATCATATAGTTATATTGACTAGTCAGTTGACTAGAGTATAAACTATTCTAGAGTATGAACCATCGACTTAGAGCTATTAACTAATTATTGACTTGAAGACTAGTTTATGAACTCATCTATTGAAAAGTGTATTAATTGGTCTACCATCTAGTCTGTTAACTTTTCCATTAACTAATAATGATCTAGCCAACGAATTAATCTATTGGCTGCTCTATGTACTAGAAGTTTTATTAGCCTATGGACCAGTCAGTTGATTAGTTTATGGAATAGTCTATTAAATAATCCATGGACTTGCCTAACGAATAGTTTATGAATTATATTAGTATTTTGATTAGGCTATTTAGCCAACGAAACAGGCTTTTTATACGAATTATAGAACGAATTTTGTACGAAAATTTGTCTTATAAACCTGTTACTGTTCACTGGGTAATAATTAATTAAAATTTCCAACTTTTCGAAAACAAAATATGTTTATTAATTTTAACATAACTAATGGCAAACATAATTATTTTAACAGATTTTCATGCATAACATTATATTACTCATACTCAACTATGTTACTCATACGTACCAGTACACTGTTAATATGAACTACTCCCAATAAAACTAGAACTAGGTTTCTCTCTGAAAAAGAAAACTCAACACGGTATCTCACTTATTCTCTGCCTACCTATATTTCTCTGACATTCTCGAACAATTACACTCTGGTGAAAAATTTATTTCCTATTTTCACACATACACCAAGACACACACACACACACAAATACACACAATTGCTATTGTATAGACATAATCATCTCTTGCATAATATATTTTTCCGGTAACTATTATTTTTCTACCAAAGTGTTTGCGTATGTGTATGTCGGTAAGTGTGTGTTTGTATGCGTGTATATATGAATGTATATGTGTGTTAGTCTGCAAAAATTGGCAATAGTGCAACGTGTTTTCTTCTGGTATTTTAGACATATACGAAAATTGTGCAGAAGGCATTCACACCATAAACTATGACGATAAAAATGTATAATATATATATTTTTAAAAGAAAAAAAAAGTATAGAATGATAACAAAATAAAATCTACTATATGCAAACATGCATTTATATAGATATACATACGTATGTATGTTTATATGTATGTAAGTTTTTAAATGAATTTGAAACGTTGATTATAAATGAATTAAAAAAACACACACACACATAACTAAACAACAATGGAAATTTTTACAGAACATAGAATTTTTATATACATTTTGAAATTTATTTCTATTACAAAAAAAAAGAAAACCAAATTAATGCATGAGCCCGAGATAGAATGCAGTGGTAGTGTGAGTCAAAGAGTAAATGAACGCAGTTTTAGAGGAAGTGTTAGAGTTTTAGATAAATATTATGACAGTTTCATTTTATTTAGCTCCATTTTTATTAGTATGTCTGCATAGGCAGCATAAACTAAAAAAAGTACTTAGTATAGATTTTGATTGTTTAACCCGGTTGTTTTACCA